TTCATTCTCCAGTTCCTACTATGAACACACTGTATTCTTATTTTACATTCACTTCCCATCTTTGATTTGCATCCTCTGAGCCTTTGCAGAAGCAACGTCATTTTGGAGCTACCAACCAAATTATTGTCTCTTCCTGAAATCCCACCTGAAGTCCTATCTCTGTGGATATTCCCACAACAATCAATTTGGGTTTTGTTTTGTTTTGTTTTGTTTTTCTAATTTAGCTCATGTTATTCTTTGCCACTGTTGCCAACATTTGCTCTCTGACAAATCCTCACCTCCATTTTTTGATTTTCTAATTTTAGTCATTCTTCAATCCAGTGAAAACTGAATTTAGAAATCATTTCACTGGGGCAACCTTTCATCCTCCTCTGGATTGGTTAGGTCATCTACTCTTTGCTCCAGCAGAGCTCCTTGAAATTCATTTCACAATCCTTTTTGTGCTTTACTAAAAATTCCAATTTTTAATTGGACATACAGCTCCTGGAAAAAGAAAAAAACAAAACAAAAACAGCTAGACTGTTTTATTCCCATCACCAGTCCAAGGTCCTAGCATATAGTTAGAAGGCAATAAATATTGAATTTATTCCTTTAGTAAATGAAAAAATCTTAGTATTTTTTTACTCTTGAACTGTTTCATATTCTCATTGAATGGATAAAATTGTTCCTGTATTGTTCATTTGCTTATCACATTTTCTGTATGTACACAGTGAAATGGAATCTCCCTAACATGGCAGTGTTTTCCTGTCCTAGATTTTTTTCTTTTTAATTTTTTTTAGTTCTATATGGACTCAATGCCTTTATTTGTTTTTATGTGGTGCTAGGATAAAACCCAGTGCCTCACACTCACAAGACAAGTGCTCAACTCCTGAGCTACAACTCCAGCCCCTCCTGTCCTGGATTTTAAGATAGAATAAGAAAATATTTTTCAATAAATAATTTTTAAATCATATATACAGTATAAAGGTCAGGGATTGTAACTGCATTGTTCTGTGTTGTCTCCTCAGCTCCCTAAATCCCTGATTCCAGAACATGCCTGATCCATATATGGTGCTCAATTAAGTTTCTATGGAATAAGTGAATGAATGATATCACTAAATCATCACACTCATTTTGTGTATCTACATATGCTTTATTAGCACATCTACTACAATTAGATACCCAGCATATTTGAAATAATCACAAACAAAGCATATTTATATCTGATATCTTCCCAGTATTTCCCCATCTGTGACTTATCCTGTGGAAATTTCTCTCTGTGAATCAGTCAACTTATGAAGCTAGGAGTATACTTAAGACATAGTTGGGGGCAGTGGCACACACCTGTAATCCCAGGGGCTTGAGAGGTTGAGACAGGAGGAGCACAAGTTCAAAGCCAGCCTCAGCAAAAGGGAGGCACTAAGCAACTCAGTGAGACCCTGTCTCTACATAAAATACAAAATAGGACTGAGGATGTGTTTCAGTGGTCAAGTGCCCCTGAGTTCAATCCCCGGTACCCCACCCCCACAAAAAAAGACATAGTTGGAGGTTTTTTTTCTACTTTAATCCCATATTCATTTTCACTTTGGGAGAGGAGGATTATAAACACATATTATTTCCATGACTTGCAGCATTATCCTTTAAAATGTTGAACTTACAAATGTCTTCCAGCAGTTGCCTTGCCACTTAAAAGTTATAAAAATTCCGGGAGATTTCACAGTTCTAAATCTTTAAAAAGAGAAAAAAATATATCACTTTTAGTTGTCCATCAAATGAAACTTCTCAGATTTCCCAAGTTAACCAGCCCTTCAGAAAGTTGCCCTTTTCTCTCCATCTACTTTCTTTGAGAACTAAGTCTAGTCTCTTTTGTCATATAGTGGATTATCTAACCACTTTTCATTAAAACACTGGTAAGAAACTACAATTAAAACAAGCAACTTCCTATTATTTACAAATTTACTCTATGCCCTGTTGTCAAAATGAAATGAGCCAACAATTCCTTTCTTATTCTAACAAAAAGAATATGGCAGTAGAATTGAGGAAGCCCCAAATTCACTTCATGTCTACTTGCTTCAACATTCTCACCTACCAAATGGATATAATAATATTTGCCCATGCCAATAATATTTGCCTATAGTTTTTTTTAAGGCAAAAACAAGATGAAAGAAGGAACTTTGTGAAGCCAAAATTGCTTTTATGCATTCAAAGGTCTTATTACACAAAATGTTGCAAACCT